TTTATTTATCTGCCGTTAATAATTATAAAAAGATGTAATTATGTAGTGATTAACCTCAATCACTCTATATTCATCAACAACTATTTACAGAATCATTTCTGGAAATCATTTGACAAATTCTCCATTAATTAATAACTTAAAAATGAAATCACCGACAGATTATTATAATTTATTTTTGAACATAATTGAAAAGTATATCATATATAAGATTAGTAAAGATTTGAAGTAATTGATTATTGTGGTGAAACTGCCCCCCAAATGCACTGGTACGTCCAAGGGTAGGGAGAATCCGCTCTCCCTATCGAAATGCTCTCACATGGACACGTGTATACAGTCACTGACAGAGAAGTCCTGCTCACTGCCTTCTCGTGGTGGAGGTGTTGTTCACGAAATTGAGAGGACGAAAAAACAAGGTCCGACAATTTAACCGGGTTGGTGGATATGGAGGATCCACCAAGGGGAGTTGGAAAATACTGATTACAAACCAGTTATGCACACGGGCTCCAGGATCCTGAAGGAACCAACGGCGTATGAACCAATCGTTGGTCACCGGCTACCATCAGACTGCATCTCCTGACGTTGCTCCACTGCCTTGTGGATCAGACCCTTGGATTGAAGGCTCCGGGCAGTATCACAGCCCACACACAAATCAAGTGACTTGTGTGGTGCATATGTATTCGGCGCCCATTTGCACCATTATTTATATGATCAAATAAATAAATAAATGAGTGGTGAAATTATGAACTAAGCCACAAAATGTTACATCCAGATATTTGATAAGACAATGAATGGACACAAATATGCTACTAATAAAAATGCTAATACTCCACTTATATATACTCGTATTGTATATTAACATTTAATTGCAAATCTGGTTGTACAGATTTCTGAATAGTTATACTCATCATGTAAATTCATGAGATAAATATATTGAGCTTTATTTGGAAATATAAATTTGTTCTCGCAAATGAGAATAGAATATTTTTTGTTTTAATATTTACAGATTTTAAAACCGTTTATAATGCTACGGATATGGTGACAAATCCTGTTACAATAAAAGATCAACTTAAGATATCCAAATTAAAAGCTATGGATAGCTAAAGCTTACACAATATAAATGATAGAACGGAAATTCACATGACAACTAATTAAATTCGAACAGACATTAAACTATTCGTGGATCCATATATGCCACAAATATATACGGCTGTACAACTTTGAAAATGAACACGTTGGAAACAATTCCTTCACTGAAGAAATCGTTTCATGATTTATTCAGTATATTTAAATAGGTTAAACGAGAGAGATATAAAAGGATTAAATGACAAAACCAAGGAGCTATTAAAAAATTGGATAGACCAGGAATACAAGAGAACCATACACTGAGGTTTGAGAATAGTGAGACAAGTGGGTGGTGCACTTTGAAGAGCGTTTGGACAGACAAGTCCCACTGAACCCACCGGACATCGAAGCAGCATACACAGACATTTCCATAAATGTCACCTCACAAATAATAGGAGAAACTAGCAGGGTCATCAGACAAATTAGTATTTTCAAAGGAGCAGGACAAGATAGAATACCAACTAAAGTACTAAGGCCAGACATAGAAGTAACTGTAAAACGTTCATTGTGCTCAGTAGAAAGGTTTGTAACGGAAAATAAAAACTAACTGACTGGAGAGAGAGACATCTAATAAACATATTAAAGAGAGGAAATTTCAGCAAATGTGAGAACCACAGAGACGTCATACTACTGTCAGCATCCAGTTGTTTCCAAGACTGTTGCTGAACCGAACGAAAGATTCAGCTGCCGTTCAAATTTAAGGTCAGAAAGCTGAAATTTATAGGAATCGATCAAGGACCAAATCGCGACACTGAGGATTATTGGTAAACAAATAATTGAATGGAACTCATAGTTAAAAAATCAACTTCCTTGATTATATAAAAGCTTTCAGAAATGTGGATAGGGAAAACTAGTGGAGTCTTTCTCCTTCCTAAAGAGTACCTGAGACGGCTATCATTATAATACAGGACTTTTAGAACGGATAGGATTCCAGTGTCGTGCATAGGAGGTAGCTCATAGATGAATTCCAAGTGAATAAGAGTTCCAGACAAAGTTGTTTACTCCCGACTTTTCTCTTGCTTCTAGTGGTCGACTGGATTTTCAAGAACTCCACACCTTGGGAGAAAAGCTGATCTTAGTAAACAACATAGTGACAGCTGGATGAAATGAACTTTGCAGATGAGTAAGACCTACGATAACACATACGAAAACAAATATATATAAAGCAGACAGTCTAACAACGGCTACCGTGACAGTAAGCCTCAGAATTCACAAAGGAAAGAGTAAGATGGTAAACTACAGCACAGACACCACCAAACAAATCACACTTAATGCCCAGGGTCAGTACGATATGAAGCTCTTAGCCAACAAATACAGCATGAACGACAAGCATGGGAGGTTTGATATAAATAGTAAGGTATCAGTTTGAAAAATTAAGGACACGATCCCTAAAATAAAAACATATGAGACTCAAAGCAGCTGTCACTCAAGAATAAAACCAGAATTTTCAACACTTATGTTGAAATAATCCTGTCATTAGGAGCTGAAAATTGGATAACTACTACCAGTATTTATAAAAATCTGTCTACCTAGGATACACCAGATCCATTGGTCAGAGACCACCAACAATAACTTACTCTGCCAGAGAACAAGCCAGCTACCAGTTGAGGAAGAAATTAGGAAAACATAGTGGAGATGAATAGGACATGCTGAGGAAGTCACTAAACTGGATCAAAAGGCAAGCCCTGAATTGAAATTCCCAATGCTAAGGGAAGAGGCATATCAAAGAACACGTGGATCCGGGAATCGGAGTCAGACATCGAGAATATGGGAACAACTTAGCAACAACTGAAAAGGATCACAAAACAGAGACACTTGAAGCTCTCTGGTTAACAAACTATACCCCAAGAGAGGTAGTTCATTCCAGTAACTAAGTAAGAACTTTTGAAGTGTAGTCAAAGATTTAAGTTATCTGGCACGCTGAAAAATTATTGGAGTTCAATGCATTTATACAGATGGTTTGCTTGAAAGTTTCTGTATTATCGGTAAAAATACCACATTTGGATGGAAAGTTTGAAATTACATAGTTATTTCTTCAATGATAATATCTCAATGAAACTTTCGAATCTCAGATGCAGCACCAATTCTCTGAATATGATGTGTATGACTTAGTGATGATATTTGAAAGTCATAGGTTGAAAGTAAGTGGTTTCCATCAGCTGCGATAAACCGATATATTCATTTACTAAACGAAGCTGCTAGTGGAGAGATGGTTTAGTGATTAGGGCGTTTAGACACTAAGTCCTGAGTTCAACACTCTCTCAGCCTCTGCTGTGAGCAGTTGGATAGTATCAGTAAACTTGAAACAGAATGTGCCCCATATCCAAGCACCTGAAAAATACGTTAATATAATTCATAAGAACTAATATAACTTACAGAAAATTATGAACAATTTTACTGGAAAAATGTTTGTCTTTATTTCAGGTTCAGAAATGCATACACATGTCAATCCGAAGATTCAAATCAAAATATCAACTAGAACATCATCGTTTTACTTCATCTTCTCTACCCATAACAACTATACCAACAACAAATTCCACATAAGCAATAATTAAGAAAACCTACTTTTATCAATAGAATTGAATTCAGATAATATTTATACTTCGGATAACGACTAAACACTGAACAAGAGCAGTTCAAGATACAAAAACTAAGCAGATAAACACCAATGAAGACAACTTTATGAGTCGAAAGGAATATAATTAGAATAAACCAATAAAATGATGTACAGAACAAAACATGGTTAACCTTTAACCGAATATTATGACTTACATTAAAAACATTCAAACAATATTTTCTGATTTATAATGGTTCTACAAAAGATTTCGATAGGCGGAAATTTTCTCAAAATCAACACAATATTCATAAAGAATAAAAATAAGACAATTACAAAAGACTTTTCCAGAAGCAATTTCCCGAAATGTCATGAAAAGCCGAGATCAGTAGATTTGGTAAGGTGAGGCGTGAAAAGTAAAATAAAATTGAGAATCGAATGAGATTAGAGGATTAAAAAGAAGAGACTGAAATTGAGAACGCGTACCGCCAGATTTTGACTCAGTGACTTAGTAGTATTGTGTATGCCGAGAAAATTTAAGGGTTTGGTTTCCACCTTATGTGTGATTGAAAGAGTACATAGCTAAGATGCTTAAAGCCAGAATAGCATTCCTACAAAAGAAACATATTTGAAACTCAAAGCAGCTGTCACTCAAGAATAAAATCAGAATTTTCAACACTTATGTTGAAATAATCCTGTCATTAGGAGCTGAAAATTGGATATTTATTTATTTATTTGAACACATGAATATTGGTACAAGAGAGCGCCAATATATATGCGCCACACAAAACAATGAGAATTCGAAGAGAAGTAGAAAGGGAAAAAAACTAAGGGGCGCAAAAGAAGAAGAGAACAATGACGAAGAGATTGGAGTAAGGTAGTGTGGTAGTAACGACGGAACGAAAAGGTACAATCAGAGGAAATCTTTCAGGTAAGGGAGACACAACCACTTTTTATGAAGAAAGTAAAAGAAGGTTACAGCAGGATCGCCACTGGCTTCTATTCTGAGCCATATCTGATAACGTCTCTAGCCACTGTGTAGCACCATCTCTCAGACCCCAACCAGGGAGTCGTGAAGGACCAACAGAAGCCAGTCCTTTGCAGCTTTCTTTCATACCACGACACCATGTCATGCACTGACCACCTCTCCGCTTCTTCCAACCAGTCCCAGAGTCGGCAAATAATGCACGACGTGGAATTCTCTGGGACGACATTCGTAGAACATGTCCAAGCCACCGAAGTCGGTGTTTCAAGATGGTGACACCAATTGAATTATCATCTCTGTGCCCGAACACACGATGCCAAACCTCTGTATTACTGACATGGTGTTGCCACTGAATGTCAGCAATCCTTCGGAGACAGCGATGATCGAACACAGAGAGTCGTCTAACGTCCTCAACTCGGAGAGGCCAGGTTTCACAAGCATAGAGCAGAACTGCTCTCACCGACGCGTTGTAGATCCGACCTTTTACAGCCAGACTAACATCACGAAGGCGCCAAAGGTGGCCCAGATTGGCATAAGCCGCTCTGGCTTTCACTATTCGTGCATTGATCTCATCACTCACACCCCCACCAGCACTTATGCAGCTACCCAGATACACGAACTTCTCAACTACGTCTATCTGCTCACCATCCAGGGTGAGTGCAGGATTAGAATCCTGCCAGTCTTGTAGAAGTACTTTGCACTTCGAAGGTGCAAAGCACATACCATACCTACGGACACTGATTGCCAACTGATTAAGTGTGGATTGCATGCCTTGGGTATTATCGCACAGTAAGACAATATCGTCCGCATACTCAAGGTCGAGAAGTCTTTCTCCAGGCAACAGATCCACACCACCATTACTTACATTCATCAGAGCTGTTTCTAGAATGTCATCGATGGCAAAGTTGAAGAGGAATGGTGAGATTCGGCAACCCTGCCTAACCCCACTGCTCGAATGGAACAATGGAGAGAGGTGGTTGTATGCCCTCACTCTGCGTGAGGTGTTTGTATATAGGGCTTTTAGGATGTTAATAATCTTCTCAGGCACACCCTTCTTCAATAGACAATCCCAGAGAACAGTCCTGTCCAACGAATCGAAGGCAGCCCTGATGTCAAGAAACACTACGATTGTTGGCCTTTGAAAAGTATGACGGTGTTCTAACATTTGGCGGAGGGTGAAGATATGATCAATACATCCTCGACCAGAACGAAACCCAGCCTGCTCCTCGCGAGTCAATCTTTCTCGGGTTTTGAACAACCTACGAAGAATGACGGAAGCCAATAGCTTGGACGCAATCGGAATTAGACTTATCCCCCGATAGTTGTTACAGGAACGACGTGAACCCTTTTTAAAGATAGGGACAACTATCGACTCATTCCATGACGTTGGTACACTCTCGAGCTCCCAGACCTTTGTAAGCAACGTCGTCAATTCCTTAGTCAAAAAGTCACCACCATCTTTAAAAAGAGCCGGAGGTAAGTCATCTGGGCCAGGTGATTTGTAACGCTTCAAGAGTTAGAGTTCCTTGTGGACTTCCTCCTCATTTAGTGGATCAGTCGTCACCGGCCATGGAGGGCAGGACAGTCTGACCGATGTTGCCGGAGCAGCAGGCCAGTTGAACTGCCCTTCGAAAAATTCTGCCCACCGTCCAAGACGTCGATGGATGTTAGTGATTGGCATCCCATCATCCTCGCAGATTGTTTCACTCACACCAGACTTCTTGCTGCCAGTGGCTCGGATGAGCTGGAAGAGCTTCCGGTAATTACCGGATGCAGCTGCTGCTTCCAGCTCATTAGCACGCTTCGACCACCAGGCTTCTCGGTCCTTACGCAAGCTTTGCCCAATTTCCTTACGTAACATCCTTCGTTTATGGTCAAACTCACGGTCACCCGGAGTAGACCGACGGGCTTCGATGAGTTGTAAGGAGCCTGAAGAAACCCAGTGCTTATAAGGGGAACGTTTTACGAAGCCGCAAGTGGCTTTACTCGCCATTTTGATGGCGTCATGTAGTTGCAACCAATGCTCATCTATACTTTTCGGTGGAGTGGTAGCTAGCCTAGAGGCTAGCTCGGTTCGATACTTACTTGCAACAGAAGTTGCAACCAGCTTGCTAACATCAATCTTTTGGTGGTGGTCACTTCGTTGGCCACTGAAAAGTAAGGCAAGATTGGCGCAGACCAAGGCATGGTCAGAGTCCAGATAGGTACTCCAAAAGGAGCGGCAGTCTTGTACACAACCACGCCAGCGGTAGCTGACCACGATGTGATCAATCTTAGTCCAGGCTTGAGATGCAGAGGGAGGACGCCAGGTGGCGCATCGGCGATGACTGTGCCGAAAGTTAGTTAGGGTCTCGGATAGACAACAAACATCAATATTAAGACTTTCCAAAGACATAGCTAGCCCTATCTGTTGTCCGACCTGCATAAATGTGCGAACGTTGAAGGTAGCCAGTTTGAATGGTGCACGTGGTTTCAGAAAAACTGCTTCAGTCCTCGCATTCGGTGGTAACATACAATTTTCAACCGGACAGTGACTCGAGAGCGTTTAGATACAGTCGAATTTCCACCAAAGACGAACCGCTGTATAAGTATAAAAGAGGGTGAATAATGTGGAAAATAATAATAATAATAATAATAATAATAATAATAACAATAGTGACAATAATAGTAGCAATAATAATAATAGTATTAATAATGACAATAATTGTAATGATAATAATCTGAATCAATTGTTTGTTTTTCAAAGCGAGAAAGGTAATTTCCATGGGCATAAAGAGTTCATCAATTTGTGTGGGCTGTGATACTGCCCGGGTGCCCAAACCGAAGCAGGTGGTTATCTTAGGGGGCCACTCCCCGAGCCTTTGACCTAAAGGTCTAACCCACAAGGCAGTGGAGCATCGTAAGGAGATGCAGTCCCATGGTAGCCGGTGACCAACGATTGGTTCATACGCCATTTGTTCCCGCAGGATACTGGAGCCCATGTGCACCATGTACACCAGATCCATTGGTCAGAGACCACCAACAATAACTTACTCTGCCAGAGAACAAGCCAGCTACCAGTTGAGGAAGAAATTAGGAAAACATAGTGGAGATGAATAGGACATGCTGAGGAAGTCACTAAACTGGATCAAAAGGCAAGCCCTGAATTGAAATTCCCAATGCTAAGGGAAGAGGCATATCAAAGAACACGTGGATCCGGGAATCGGAGTCAGACATCGAGAATATGGGAACAACTTAGCAACAACTGAAAAGGATCACAAAACAGAGACACTTGAAGCTCTCTGGTTAACAAACTATACCCCAAGAGAGGTAGTTCATTCCAGTAACTAAGTAAGAACTTTTGAAGTGTAGTCAAAGATTTAAGTTATCTGGCACGCTGAAAAATTCTTGGAGTTCAATGCAGAGATATTTACACATCTTTTATTACTTGAAGATACATAGAAGAGAAAGATGAGTCAAATTCCAATAGCTTCTTCCTGAGGACGATTTGAAGAACAAGATTTTCCAGAGCCGTAAACAGGTCTACGATTGACGTGGCGTCCAAACCGTTATCAATCAAAGGCTCTTCTAAATCTCTTTTGATATTTACAAATACAAAATAAATAATTATTACTACAATAAAAAATCATCCAAAAAAACTAAGAACTTCTTTTGAAATCTGGTGCACTTGTTAAATGGTCCATTAACAAAACGGACAAAGAGAACCATAAAAACTTGAGAGTAGAGTGGACAAAACTACATTATAAGGAAGATATGACAAGTTTTCCCAAATATAGTCAAAAACTATAAAATCAATCATTTGAAGTTATGTATTGCGATCCAAAGTATACAAAAGATACTTCGTTGACTGAAACTAAAACCAAAACCGTAAAACTTACTGGACTCCATTGTCGTCATGTTACAAGTATTGGAAACATAACGCGAAGATCAACACACGCGCTTTGACCTTATGCAAAATATCTGACTCAATAGAGGCTATCGTTCCAGGTCATTGACCTTGAGAGCAGAACACAATTGTACAGTTTTTCTCAATCTTTAGAGCTTTTACTTCTCGTAGCGACTACAGATTCAAAACATTACCTGAGACAATGGACTCTAGAGTATTCACTCTTCTTAAAGATTTATCAGAAATGGATACTTAAACACTGAATCTTCTACGAGAGGGTGTTATAATTACACCTTTGCTTATCGCTCGTTGGTGTCCTATGATTTATATGGTTCTTCGGAAAACACTAAATAAATGAATAACGTATCTGTTCTCATAAAGCGAGGTGGCTGTATCAGATTAGTCTAATCGAAGAATTTACCTCCAGTCTGTATAGCTTATTCCGTCATTCAGCCTCTATTCGACTAGACAGAGCTGGAGTTTCCGAAGCAACAACGTTATTGATACTCCTGAGCTATTGATAAAACAGTAGTCATAGACGTTGCGGTCGTCTCATCCAGCCTACACTGACGAGAGCCCTACCTAAAACTCAACAGAAGTCTTGAAAGTGAATCTGAGCGCATGGCTGGTGTACCAAAGTCTTCAGTTCGCAAACGTGAATACGTCGACATCATCCACTCCTTTTATAGTGAGGAGCAGCCTTAATCTTGGCAACACACTCGCAATAGCTAGATAAAGGTGCAGTCTCAGAAAATTGGAAGTTTGCATACATCACACCAACTTTTAAAGGTTCCCAACCCAACGGGCCTTCGAAGTGCTGACCGGTTCTCTCCAGCTCAGAGAACAAAACTCCGCCAAAATCATCCACCTGAGCTACAAATCTTCTCCACCATCTCAAAGACTATCATCCTCATTAGCAAAGAGAAGGTGGACATAATTTACCTCGATTTCTTAAGTATTTGACAGGGTCGATAAAACACATCTTATCAATAAACTCGATCCAATATGTGCCAGATCTTCATCAACAGGCTGTTTCGAGTTGTTTATAGACGTTTTAGGATAATAGAAAACCTAACACTTTACCGTGCTGCAGGACGTCTTGATGGACTCTTCAGGGCTTGATACTGGGACCTCTTCTGTTTTTAATCAGTGTAAGATAAAGAGAGCACATAGAGTAATCACCCTCTTATGGCGCGTTAATACACATATTAACTGTTACTTTATATCAAGTGTGAATAGCTTTTTCAAAGGTTTTTATAAACAACACCGCCAACTGTCGTGATCCGACGAGCTAAATCACAAGACAATTTAGATTCGATGTAGAATCTTATGAGTTAGACAGTAAGATCATAATAAGTCCACAGTATTGGACTAGTTTTATTATTGTAGTACCGTACATAAATACACTCACTACAATACTAGACGTGAATCCCACAGAAGCCTCTAAAGTACCTGAGAAACACATGTTTTACAAAGAACAGATATACGTTCACTGAAAATATTTTTTGAAACTGTGAACGTGACATGTAGATGCAAACAATAGGACTTCGATTCTTCTTTTTTGTCGTCCGAAACGAATTCTAACAGGATATAATGGAAAACCTATTGAAAAATAGTTTGTGGGGCTCTCACCATGAGAGGCTGTGACTTGAGTAAAAGTTGACATGTCGGAACCATTTTTTCCAACAGAATGTCCTGGACGTTGTCAGCATCTGGGCTCGAAATTAGCTTCAGGATTTCGATAGCGCCAACCTAAGAACTTTTTTAAGGAAACTACTTATGTTTTATTTGCAATTTGCAACATACCCTAGGTGGCCTACTTTACGTTTTAAAGTGCCGAAAGTGTGTCTGTAGAATTATGGTCTACTATGATATCAGTACCGCTCTAATAATAGACTTAGTCCTAAAATTGTAGATTTATCATCATATAACTGCCTAATATATATGATCTTATACGGAAGTCATATTAATATCTACACCAACTCATCGCGTCGTAACAATCATCAATATATGATGAAGAACACACATAGGCTAGAGATAGAACAACATATTTAATATGAATAAAAGGTACATTTTAGCACTCAATAATGACCACGCCTGTAAGGCCGAGCCATGCCATCCGATGGATTCGAACTAGTTCAATTCATTCTTCCCGACTTCTATATCGTTGGGTTTTTCTCCGCGTCAAATGTTGGATATGTGTAGAACTATGATCTACTACGATATTAGTACTGCTCTAATAATAGACCTAATCCTAAGTTTGTCGATTTGTCATGATATAACTGCCTAATCTATAAGATCTTACGTGGAAGTCACACCATCGACTACGCCAACTCACTGTATCGTATCAATTACCAATACATGATGAAGGACAAGGTTAAGTTAGAGAAGGAACAATATATTTAATATGAATAGAGACCACGCCTGCATGGTCGAGCCATGCCACTCGATCAACTCCAGTCCATTCAATTCATTGTTCGCGCCTTCTCCATTGTTAGGTATTTTTCCGCGTTAAATATTGAATATCTATTTTCTGAGTAGTCTCGTGTTTACAGCTTTGTGGATTGTGTGGTTATTGTCCAATGCCACTACACTACTCTCCCACCAGAATCAACGTGATGTTGGTTCGAGACGAAATTGGATGGGATCGTCGCGCGCCGGAGGTTACCAAGGATAATAAGGATCCTCCGGGTATTGATAAGCTGAAAGATAAATCGAAAAGGCGGCAGCATCTGGTCGGGAAATACACGTAATAATTTTTAAAAAAAATCTGCCTTCATGCTTAAAACGCTTGAAATGAAAATTTGGGTGAAGATTATTTGAGCTATAAAAAATGGGGTTACAATAATAATAATAAAACGATGCGTGTTAATAACTTAACTTATAGGTAGTAATTATTTTGTGTTTAGAAATATTAAAATAATGAATATTGTAGAAATGTTAATATTGGTATTAGTTTTGGTTTAAATTATGAAATCGGATAACGATTATGCCGGTAAGTTGTCCATATGAGTTGAATTCCAATTGCATCTGTATTAGTAGGCTAACTGAAGGAACAAAAGTATACCGTGGGGAAGAATTCCAACTAGTGTTCCAGTTAGTTTGATACGGTTTATTTAGTTACGGGGAGATTTTCTCAACCTCATTTTTACTTGACCGTGATAGAATTTAGTAATACTACTAATACACATGAACGGTTATCAGAATAAAATTTAAATACGTGAGTGATAATTATATGAATTTTGGACAGATAGCTAGGAACAAATCGCTAAACATGAGTGTGTTCGTAAGAGACATGCTCTGGACTCAATGTTCTGATCTGCAATAGACTATTTATTTATATTTATACTTGCTGGCTGATTGGGCATACAAGTTAGTTGCAAGTATGCAGTTTATCATAAGGCGGAATAAGATTAAATTGAGATATAGTGGTTATAGGTTATTAAAATCAGTTAGGCCTGTGTCATATTACGAAGTGATGTGGTGCCGCAGGATGTATTCGGCTAAATAAGCTTTTACAAGATGATTAACAGTGAGTGATGCTCATGTGATTATCAGGAAGAACACAAGTTGTAACCAAGGGGAGTACACTCCCAACTCATGTCTATGATAATGGCTTGAACCTTAGTCAGTGTTGGGGTAAATTCGACATTGATGTTTTCAGTTTGCAGGAGATTTGCTCGACTGCTTATACTGATTATTTGCATGCATGATTGTGTCGCTAAACCTCCAATTAGACTGACAAGGTTT